CAGAGGTGTCTGTAAACAGGATATTTATATTACCAGATTAGTCCCCCGTCAACCGCCGGGACCTTCCTTTCCTGCGCAAGCTTTCTATCCTCCGCTATGGTCCCTTCCTCCTGTGACACCAACACCCTGGAAGTGACGCGTATGCAACACAATGGTGTTTCATACAGTAGAAGGGACACAATCATGATATGACGGTAGATTTTTCGCTTCCCTTCCTCATCCTCCCTTCCTCTCTCCACTGCCCTCCAGCTGCCACTGCAGCACCATGTGGAATGAACGGAAGTGTGCTAAGCAGGTGTTTATATAGCCCTAAGAGTGTTATCACAACTATCCTGCTACAAAACATTGATATCTCAAATCCTGTAAGCTACCCGATTTGTTAGCGGTTTGTTTATCCCATGAGCTTCCTTCTCACTCACTTCATTTTGCGGACGGACACACATACATACACACACACGCACACACACATACAGATACAACCGAACAAAATAGTTAGCGTGAGATAGAGAAGGGATATCACGGATGATTAGTCGATGGAGGATAGTGATGTCGATTGCTATAGAATACCATTGATCGTTAATCGCCAACATCCATTCATCTTTCTTGGGGATTTTGGGAATTTAGCGGTTCGAACGGCTTTATGTTGATGACAACAACGCAATGAGATGATACTGAAGTGAAATGCGTTATCTAGAACCACGGTTTTAAGCGATCTATATGTTTCCACGAATACCGTAATTATCTGCCCTTATTACCCTACAGGTTTTAAGCTCGCCGCTACCGCGCGCATTGCATAGGAACTGACAATCGGTGTGAGCTTTATGATTTCACTCGTAAATTAAGCTGCGGGGTCGTGATGTATTAGCTTTCGGCCTTGCTAGGCTGCTTCTTGCTTATCTCACTGTTTTGATAAGCGCAGTGAAGTGCACAGCTAAAGTGATGATGTAAACAACCACTATGCGTCGAGTATCGAGGTAATTTAGCGGTCGAATATCTCAAAACGGAATGCCTAGTATTCATTATCATATTTATTCGAGCATCCCATTCATCCTCAAGAACTCTAGAAGGAGTAGCGGTCGAAAGGTGCTTGAGTTTACAATTACAACGCTGATGAAATGATATTGAAATAAAAGGCATTATCTACAATCTGCTCTCTATTCTCTATTTCAAGTGCTCTCTACGTTCGTACGCATGTCGTTATATCAGTCGTCATCAGTCGTTATCACTTGGTGACCCCACCAAATATGTTTGCGTCCCACCCCCTATATCATGTCCCAAAATCAGCTCCTGACGACTGCTGCGAAGCGCACTATGAATTTCGCGACACTTGCGTTCTAGCGCCTTTTATCAGCCCTTATCAGTTGTTATCACTTTCTGACCCCACCAAAATATGTTCCCGTCCCACCCCCTATATCATATCTTGAAACCAACTCCTGACGACCACTGGTGCCCGAGCTATGAATTTCGCGACACTTGCGTTCTAGCGCCTTTTATCAGCCCTTATCAGTTGTTATCACTTTCTTACCCCACCAAATATGTTCCCGTCCCACCCCTATATCATATCTTGAAACCAACTCCTGACGACCACTGGTGCCCGAGCTATGAATTTCGCGACACTTGCGTTCTAGCGCCTTTTATCAGCCCTTATCAGTGTGTGATCACTTTCTTTACCCCACCAAATATGTTCCCGTCCCACCCCCTATATCATATCTTGAAACCAACTCCTGACGACCACTGGTGCCCGAGCTATGAATTTCCGGTCAGACAGACAAACACATACACACACACAGACACACACACACGCAACCCGCTTAGCCGATTATATATAGTAGGATACTCATTAAACAT